GACTTATTCCTATAATTAGAAAATATCCAATCTAATTTCGAAAATTATTTTCGCTTTTATCTGTTAAGGAGAATGAATTTAAATTTAAAACTGTTACTTTTAATTTAGCAGATTAAAAAACATGAAAAAAAAGTTGCTACGAGTTTGAAGCAGCTTTACCTTTCATTTCGTAAGAATTTTTTTCTTCCGAACCATATTCTGAACACTTCACTTTTTAGAGCAAAAATCGATACATATATGCGTGTTTTGAAAAGCTTTTGTTCAAGCACTTTTCGGTTTCGTAAAATAACTTTGTATGCTTTTTGGTCTAAAAATATTTCGATAGAATGCATTAAAAGAAGTACTTTTATGTTTTCTTAGACACTTTTCTTTCAACTTGACTTCAAATCCCTTTTTTAAACTTTGTATTTTACTAAAGATTAAAAAAAGGAAGAAAAAATGTTTGGATGTTTTGCTTTTTACAACCTTTAACCTATAGTTGCTTGAATTATACCTTTAACCTTACAATAGCAAAGCACGCTATAAAAACTTGGACGTTTGTAAAGCTTAAAAACTTTTAAGTAGCTTTAAAATGCTCAAGAATTTATAAATCTTTTTCTTTCGTCTTGTTTATTTATTTTTCTTTTCTGTAAAGTAACTTGTATTTTATTTTCTCTTTAAAGAAGTGTTTCTTGGAGTGAAAATCAACTTTATTCTTTCGAAATGGTTAAAGAAAAAAATGTTCTGAAGATTTTTTTGCTTATTTGAAATTATTTCTTTTAAAAAATAATTAAAAAGTTTTTTTTTTTTTTTACTTTGTAATTGTAAAAAATAAAGATTTAATTAGTTTTCACTTTAAATAAAAAAACATTGTTTTTCAAAGGAAAGTAGAAATTATTTATAAAAAAAAATGTTTAATAATGTTAAATAATGTTTGAAATGTTTAAAATGTAAATTTTAATTTATTAAGTATGCAGTTAAAAATATTATACATTTTATATAATTAGAGTTATTTGATAGAGAAATTTATCATTATATTACTTAAAGATATTTTGCATGGAAATTTAATTAATAAACATCATATATGGGAATACTTTACAAATAAATCGCACTATTTTGAATTATAGTAAATTATTGTGCGTCATGTAGGGAATTATTTTACCAGGAAATTGAATTATTACGCTTTATCAATTGAGCGTTTTTTTCTTTAAATTTGATAGTCTTACAAATTTTTTTGAATTGAGCAATTTAAGTCTAGTTATTATGTTAATAAAACTATTTTTTAAATTTATTATGCTGATTTTTAAATGAAAGTGTCGCTGCACACATTGATGTAAAATTTGTCACATTATATAATGTAAATCCCTTCCAGTCCAGATTATATTCAAAATTTTAATTGCTGTTTGTTATTTTTATCAAATTCGTTTCGTAATTTTAATTAGTACTCACCTTTTATTAATTTGGGGTTTTTGGTTTTACAAAATCACTAAAGTTCCTTCTTGCATTATCACTGAAAAGCAGAACATCTGAGCTATAAGTTGGATTGAAATAGTTGCTTAAAAGCGAATTGTTCACCGAAATAAATGAAACATTCCATCTTGTTATTTAAATTATGCTTATTAATTTTACCACGCGGGTAACAAATAAGATTAAGAAGTGATCTTTTAGTTTTAATAATGCGAATGGAGATGTACTTCATTAACTGAGATCGGCAATAACTACATCACTCATTAATTCAGCAAAATTTTTTAACTATGGTTTACTACCTCTCTTTTCAAACTACTTTATACCTACATTATTGGGGCCGGGATAGCCTGGTTGGCAGGGCGATGGATTCACGTTCGTGAGAATTGGAATTCGAATCCAGCCGGCCGCAGACTCCCCATGTAGTAAATGGTGACTGGTCCTCTCTAAATCTGCCGGATCACAAAGTTCCCAAAACAAACTATACCTCTGAGGGTACTGAGTTAGAGATTGATCATTCTCTGGTTCAAGTCTAAATTACGATCTCTGGATGTTTGAATGGGTTCACCCTATAAACGAGAGTAGCAGAATTCGAATTCTTGGCCATAGATGGCGCCACATAAAATCAAGAAAAATCGCACTTGTCTTAATGGCAAAAACAGCAACAACCTACAATATTGATATTTTCTGTTTTCTAATCTTTTTCTATGGCATTGTTGCATTTTACGAGTTAAAGATAAAGAAGGTAGAACTGCCGTGTCTGTACTAAACTTTATAATATTAAAAAAACACATTTAAAAAAAAAAAAAAGTATTTCTACAATTGCTGCTATCTCCAAATAGTTAACTGAAACGTAATATGTATGAATTGAATGAAATGTTATAAATCAAAACTTTTACAGGGTGTATAAGTTGAACAGTGTGCAAGAAAAAGTTAAACAATCTGAATAACTTTTGGTTTAATCATCGGATCTTTCGGTACTAGGACTTAATCTTGATAGTTCACTGAGTTATTTTAAATGTGCGCAGACAATATTTAGCGCAGACAATATTTTAAATTGCAAAACTAAACACATAATTGCATGCTCTCTGAATAAACATACTTTTTTTACTACAGTTTAATATTCCAGACCCTCAAGACATCGGGAGTCCAAAGTTTGGAGGTTTTTTGGCGGTTGCACAGTATTATTAAATTCCCTTATCGAAAAATAATTCCATGCAAAAAATAATTTTCAATAATTATTTATTATTATACTATTACTTTATTTAATAATAATCAAACACATTTTGAACAGTAAAGTATACAAATTTTCAGATGATTTTAAGAAATACAATTTTATATAGCAAAATATAAAGCTTAAACGAAATCGGCCAAATAGTTCACGAAAAATCAAATTTATAAAAACGCCTTCTTTAAAATTTGATATATTATGAACTATTCGGCCGATTTAGATCGAGATTTGTACTTTACCATACAAAATTACCTTCTTTGAAATTATGTAACGATTTGTACACCTCAAATTTCAAAACTTTTTCAACTTTATTTATACAAAATAATAAAAAAGAATATTTATTAAAATATTTTTTGCCCGGAATTACTTGTGGCTAAACAAATTTTATAATTACATGCAGCAGCTCCTTGGTTAACTTAGAAAGTTCTCCTGGCCAAACTATTGAGACTATATTTCTTAGATTTTATCATTTCCTTACATTGTGAGTGTCAAGAATATGAATCCATCGAAAAAGTATGTTTATACATAGAATGTAGCATATTTGATGTCATAAGTGTTAGCCATTTCGTTAGAGTTCTTGTATTTTAAGATCCAGTCATTAAATCAAAGGTTATTTTTACGGGTTTTTTTGCACATTGTATATTTTTAGAACTTTATGTCAAATACAAATGCAACATATTTAGAAATCTTGACTAAAATATATAAATGCACAATGAAAAAGGGGAAGCGAATTCGAATTGCCAAACGATTCAAAAGGAACTGCGAATGAATTCTGAAGTTAGGGGGCATAATGAGCAATGTTTAGGGTACCCTATTGAGAATATATTAGTGTAAAAGTTTTCTAAATTTGCGAAATTATAAACAGCGACTTTTTTCCTCATTCTCGTAATAGTATTGTTTTTCGTAGGAACTGGCCATAAATAGAAGAAGAATATACAGAACATAAATGATATTTACTGGAATTTTCTGGACACTGAATCTTTTAATAATTTTTTTTTACTATCCATGTTAGAGTATTTTAAAGAAAGATGCAACACAGTAATCGTAAATAAACATTTAGAAATGTTAAAAAATCTGTTAAGAAATCGTGACTAAAAATTATTGTGAATGGTCACACTTTGTAGCTTTTAATACATGGTAACATACAATGTAACAAATTTCAGAAACTATAATTTAGACAGGACAAAAATGCTTTCAAAAATCTCGGAGAACTTCATTCAATAAATCAATTAACCGAAGTTCTAAATAAATCAATTCAATCAATATTCTGAATAATTCAATTTGATCAATATACTAAATAAACAAATTCAATCAACTGAGAAGCATTTCCTTCATTTTCAAAAGCAGGAAACCGAATCACATTGATGCCAATTCAGTTTCTGAGTGTAGCATAGTATCAGTAATCAGTATTGGAAATCAGTCAATCAGTATTTTAGTCTATCTGTATCAGTATTATGTCAATCAGTATTCTAAATAAATCAATTCGATCAATATTCTAAATAAATCAATTCAATCAATATTCTAAATAAATCAATTCGATCAATATTCTAAATAAATCAATTCAATCAATATTCGAAATACATCAATTAGATCAATATTCTAAATAAATCAATTCAATCAATTGAGAAGCATTTCTTTTATTTTCAAAAGTAGAAAACCGAATCACATTGATGCCAATTCAGTTTCAGAGTGTAGCATAGTTACCACTACAACTATTAAAATCCAATTCACTAGTATATAAGACATTGATTCTTTCAAATGGCAACTTTTGATAAATGACTGTTGACATTATTGGTAGACTGACAAGAACTTTTCAAACTCATAAGAAGCACTAATAGAAATCACTTCAAAAATATTTAAAAGAAATCCGAAACCATGAAATGATTTAAATTATTTCAGAAGTACTGCGAAATGTTTCTGAATATTAGGGAAAGAGTTCTCAGAAAAATTCAGAAATGTTTTTGAATATTAAATTTTTTTAGAAATGTTTCAGCATTTATTTTCACAGCGTAAAAAGCTAAACCCTAAAATCCTGTTTGATCATTAGAAAACCTCAAACAAATATTGAATAAAAAAATCGCGTTTTAACATCGAGTGTTATCCAATAGACATACTGAATTTTATTTTTTTAATACCGCTTCTACTATGTTCAAACTAAATAATCATTTGCTTTCTAATGCATATTTTTCTTCCAGTTTATTTTTTTTTTGGACGAATAATCTAGAATATACTTTAAGAACAATAATTACGAATCACTCACTCGGTTTCTAACAATGTATTTCTGTCAATATTTATACATATTTTTATATTTTTGTATTTTTTTCAGCGCCAAAACTTCCTCCTCAACAGCATTTTTTGACTGTTCCCCAAGATATGATAGCAGTTGAAGGAACAACAGTGGACATGCAATGCCAAGTTGGTGATTTAGCTGGTGATGTGCAGTGGGCTAAAGACGGTTTTCTATTAGGTAAGTTCAAGATTAACACTTAGAGCAAAATAGGTTGAATAGTTCTCGAGAAAACAAATTTTAAACAAACCAGTTTTTCAAATTTGGGAAACTCAGAAGCGATTCGACCGATTTCGTTCAAACTTTGTTGTTTTGTCGTCCAACATCGCACTTTTCGAAAAATAAGTTGACTATTATTCAATAAACTAATGAAAATAATAAATAAGCATGAAAAAGAATAAATCATTATTAAAAATGTTTTTTTACATGAAATTATTTTTGTATAAATGAAGTTTACAAATGTATTATTTATGTAATTATTTTTCTATTCGCTTACAAAGTGTTCGAGTTATAGCGAAATTAACTTTAATTGGTCCAAATTTTCGATTGCTCTTCTGCCTAAACTATCGGGACACTATTTTCCAGATGTGTATCGTAATTTTCAGTGAGCCAAGACTGTTTCCTTTATAGATAGTTTAACACGTTGAATGAAAAGCTAATTTTACATGGCTTGCCGTCTGGCCAAAATGATTTTCTCAGTATGTATTGCATCAATTTCTTCAAACCATTTTAGCAACGATAATAATATAAAAAAATAAAAGCACTAAAATATACTCGAATTAAGTGTTTCTAATAATCGTCGGTCACCGGTGACCCCCATGTCATTCAACGTGCTAAGATAAACTGCCGGCTAGGTGGCCGAGCAAGCTGCGTGCCTGACTGCAAAATCAATGGTTGCGGATTCGAATCCGGCTCAGGGCATGGATCTTTATCTCTGTGTGTTGTTCTTTGTCGTGTGATGTGAGAATGGGGCCCCATGAACTGATATCGGAGGTAGTGTGGCATTGGCAATACCTCCGTGACTCAGGTTCACAAGTGCCCACCGGTTAAATGTGATTTCTCCAAAATTTTCCATTGAAAGTATTTTTCGAAAAAAATGAACTGCTTGAATTTTTTGCAACTAGAGCACTGTTACAGACATAATAAAGAGCACAAATCATGAAAAATAATAAAGCGGATCACTCTTAAATGTACACTATACCAAGGGAGCATCTTCAAAATAAATTCTGCTTCACATACATCAGTATTTAAAAATTTAAAGTTAAAAAAAAGTGAATTTAACAAGAGTAAGGTTAAAGTTTCACATATTAGTCCTTTCTAAAATATCAAAATAAATACAAATTATGGTTGGATTGGTTTCTAGCTGCGAAATCCGGTTTTTAATTTATTTGAAAATATATTCCACTCTTGTATAGTTTAAAGGGATAGAACTTAAATGTGTTAACTAATTGACGCGAACAAGATTTTAAATTTCAAAATCGGGTATAAAATGTATTTTCATTGTGTAAAAATTACATTTTTGACACCTTCGAAATTTTGAAACCTCGAAATAAATCAATTACAATATCCGAAAAATACAATGCTTGTAGTAAAGTCACGATAATGGTTAAAATTTTAAGCTTTATTTTAGTTTTAGTTTTTTTGTTATAAATAATTATACTATTACTTATATTATTAATTATATTTTCATTGCAGTTTATATTCTGAGTTATTTTATTATATTTTCTTCAAAAATCCATGTTCTTAGTTCAGATGCACGTATTTTCGCTTTTTTTAATGAAATCAAAGGTATGCTTGCATGAAACTTTCCTGATAAAAATATCATTGAATAAAACATTTTTATCACTTTGCTCAGACAGAATTTTTCACATTTTAAGTATTAAAATTGCTGTTTGATTTGCTAAACTATTTAAAATCGCCGATTTTATTAGGTCGAAAAAGAAGGAATTTGCAGGTTAAAGCACTTATTGCTTGACATTGACTTAATGTTTCAGAATTTTTCTTTTTTGTATGTAAAGTCACCCATCTCACTTGCTTAAGGAAATCAAGGTTAACAACAAGGTTCAAAGCATTGTTTTCTTTAAAAAAAAGTTAAACTTTTGACTTATATAAAATCCTCCTTGAGAGCCATCATGGCTCAGGGGATAGAGCGTTCGCCTTTCAATGAGGTGAACCGGGTTCGAATCCCCGCATCCGGCTTGCACTGACCACAGTGCTGACGAGATATAACCTCAGCGGTAGACGGATTATGGGTTAGAGTCCTCTTGCCGTCAGACTAACCGTTAGAGGTTCTCGTGTTCTTCCTCTCCATGTAACGCAATTACCGGCAAGTTCCATCAAAAGTCCTCCACGAAGGTAAACTTTCTCCCAAGACTTGATCCAGGTGTTCCCTTTTCTTCTGGCTTAGGTTCAAAATTACAAATTTAAGGAGTTGAACCTTAGTAGTCGTAAACACAAAATTGGGTCGTCTGTTCAACGAAGGTTGTAAAAAATAAAAAATACTCATTGCAGAAAGAACTCATGTAATATTAAAAACTCCAGGTAAGAAAAAGAAAAAAAGAAAGCAATTTCGGAAATATTTCGAGGGATTTGTTTTGTCTGTACATGCTCTTAATTACAATTCAAACACAGGCAAACTTTTGACTTAAACAAAGTAGTTAGGAGGTAACTAAAATAAATAAAACTATAAAATGATATAAGGAACTACGTTTTTCAGGTGGAATCTAAAAAGAGAAAATTATTCTGTTTCACCAAAACAAATATATTTCAGTTGTTATGCTTAATTTTCGATGCTGTTAAATATTAAAGTGGTTTTCAAAAGTTTAAAGCTTCATAAAACGCGTTATGCTTTTAATAAATTAACACTTTTGTAAGTCCCAGAACGACATTTATTTCAAATGTTTCACTAAAAATACCCTTACTCATTTGAATTCTATGTATCTTTCAAGCTTAAAAAAAGAGCAAAATATCGTATGCTCTTTGAAAAAAAAGTGGTCTCTCGTCTTTAAAGCAAACTACAGTTAGTTATGATTTATCTTACAACTCACTTTTAAAGGTAAATATCTCGCTTAAGTTTTTTTATAACGTAATTTGTGTTACAATTGAGTTAATGAGTGGAAATTACTGAGATGACAATTAAGATATTGTAAGTAATTAAGAGTATGTAAGGACAAAACAAATTACACGAAATATTTCGGAAATTGCTTTCTCTTCGTTGTTTTACCTGCCGTTATTAATATTACATGAGTTGTTTCTGTCATACTTCAATGAATATTTTGTCCAGAAGAGTTCTTTAAATTTCCGGATTTTATTTTATTTTATTTCATTTTTATTTTTTTTTTGTTGCAGAATGCCGTTCGTTAATTTTAGAGGAATAAAAATATTAGTTTCAGAGTTGTAAAAAATGTAACAGTTTAAACGGAATTGCTACTTTATTTTCTTGTAAAAAATGCTTTTTTTTAGTTATTAAATTTCTTTTAATTACAGAGCTTAAAGTGTTTTAATACAGTTAATTTTCTGAGTTAGTTCAAGACAATCATTAGTGTTGAATAATTATTTTCGGGTTCATGTGTTACTTTTATTCTAATTACTTTTTATAAGCATGAAAATAAATGTCTGCATAGTTTACGAAATATACAATTCAAAAGAATCACTGATAAATTTGACACTCCTGAATTTTTAAGAAACTTTTTATGTTTACGTTTTATGAGCTGAAATTAATATGATAATGCCTAATTTAAGAAACATAAGTGGAAAACCTACCAATAATGATTTGACAGTCCTGATTTTTTAAAAAATATTTTTCTAAATGTATATGGAGTGAAATTAATGCCATAATGCATAATTAAAGATTAATAAGCTTCATAAAAAAGTCATTGATAAATTGGACAGTCATTAATTTTGAAGAAATTTTTCGTAAATTTTATGAGCCGCAAATAATAGGATATTACGTGATTTATAAAGAATATTTACCAAAAAAACTACTGATGAATTTGTCACCTATGAATTTTTAAGAATTAACATTTTAGTGAACATTTAAACCCAATAACACTTGTTCAAAGCTGAAGAATATCTTGAATTGACTCAGAAAACTAACTATCGCAACACTTAAAGTTTGTTAAAGTTTTCTGCAATTGAAAAAAAATATATAATTACTCAAAAAATGAATTTTTTACAAAAGAATAGACTAGCAGTTCCGTCCAAAATGTTAAAATTTTTACAATTCAGAAATTAAATTTTTTTTTATTCTTTTGAAATAAACGAACGATATTCTGTAAAATAAGATAATATATGAAACGATAATACATAATTTAGAAAGCATATGCTCAAAAAATCACTGATGCGTTGGACACTCATGACTTTTTCTTATTTTTTGTGAACGGAAATTAATATGATAATAAGTATCTTATTTTATCATCATAGTTGGCCAGACAGCCCAATGTGAGCCAATGCCTTCCTCTGAAGATTTCTCCATGACGACTTCTGATTTATCCTTGATCTCCAATTGTTTTCATTAATTGCAAGAAAATTAGACTCCACTGAGTCAGCCCATCTCAACAGCGACCTCCCCCGCTTTCTTGTACCAGTGGGTCTAAGAAGCAGTATCTTTTTTATTGTATTGTCTTCACTCATTCGAATAACAAAAGCCATTGATGAATTTAATACTCGTGATTTTTTTAATCCTTCCCTAATATTTTATGGACTTAAATATTAATACGATAATATGTAGTTTCAGAAGAACATGCACCAAAAAATCATTTTTAAACTAGACACTCAGGAATTTTTAGCATACTTTTCTAATTTTTTTTGAGACGAAATTAAAAGGATAGTACTTTATTAATTTAGAATATTTATCAAAAGCCATTGAGTAACACACCTGTACCTGTACGAATACTTTCTTAATGTTTTATAAAACCGAAAATTAACACTCGTGATTCTTGTTTTTGTTCCTTCCCTAATATTTTATGGACTTAAATATTAATACAATAATACGTAATTTCAGAGGAACATGCACCAAAAAATCATTTTTGAACTAGACACTCTGGAATTTTTAACATACTTTTCTAATTTCTTATGAGCCGAAATTAATAGGATAGTACTTTATTTATTAAGAATATTTACCAAAAGCCATTGATTAACGCACACTTGTAAGAATACTTTCTTAATGTTTTATAAAACCG